ATTGATAAGTTTGGATTCTCTCCTACCATCACAAGAACATCTAGTTGATATAGACTCTAACTAGCACACTGAATATTTTGGAAAAATAAAATCAGAACACACATGCACACATATAAGAGTGCACTTTGTATCATGAATAACATTTTGTATCAAGAAAGTAGCCTAACCCAGTCTAACTCAAGTCCATGGGTCAGATTCCAGCTGTAGCCACCTCCAGACTTGCATAGCCACCGATTGATGATACAAGAAGGCTAACCTGGAAGATCACAGGTGTCATTGCAGAGTTGATTGGATCTAAAGTTCACAGGAAAATGACAGACACTCCTTCAACTCCAAGGGTTGGCAGGCCATATGGGCCACCACCCCCAGGTCAAATACATAATCCAGGCCAGGCTGGAGGGTGAAGTAAGGCAATAAAGAAGAAGACCAGTTTATCTTCAGGGTTGTCCTTAAAAAAGGCCATACCCCCCAGGAGGTGTCATCAGGTTGCTACTGATTGATAGAGTGGACTTTACCAAGTTGGCACAAGACCCGTCATTGCTCACTCGTCGTCTTGGAATTTGTGCTTAACTCTTTAACCATGAATAATCTCCGAACTAAGACAATAAGATGATACTTTCCTATAAGAGGATACAAACTAACATTTGTCCAATAGAAAAAGCACCAATCCTGTTTACAACATATATTTTATAAGTGAAAAAAAAAACAAATATATCTGATGCTTGACATTTCTTTGAACAATCACCTAAACCTGAATCTGACAATCTTAACAACTGCCCTCATTATGTTTTTCCCAGATCCATTAGGAAAAGTGAAACTATTCAGTGGGAAATCATCCCTTGATCCACTTTTTGGACACCACAGTCATCCATGAAAGTTTTAAATGGGGTACTTCATGACTTGTTCTCCTCCCATTTGAGTATCTGAGTTGTAAATTGCTCATTGCTATCAAACTAGTGTTCTGTGATGTGATGAAGAGATAAATATGTTCTTTGCTGTAATGAATTTTCATTCCCATTTGAAATTTGTGTGTTTTCATGCATAAGCAAAGTCCAATCTAGAGCAGATGGTTCATCAAGACTGAAAGCAATATGCATCAACTCCCAGGGTCAAACATCTTTCTGTTTATCCAGTGGGTTTATGATTAACTCAGTCCTAGCCATCTAAGCTAGGTCAATGAATACCAGTATCCAGGTAGAGAACTCACATACCCACCTCCTTCCACTTCAGACCACTGGCTCTTTGCATGTTCTCATTAACTTAGCTATTGTTTAATTTTCTATTAAGTTTATCTGCTTGTTGAGATAGGAATAAGATCATTGCTCATGAATGGTTTGACCTCTTCTTTTACTCTTCAATGACTGGCTATCTGTGCTGAGAACATTCTGCCCTTTTCCCTTTATGTGCTGTTGAGTCAGGTAGAGTTTCCTTACTTTACAATTCCAGAAATATTCTTTATCTAACTTGGCAGTTTGAAATCCGTTCTTCTATGCTAAACTCTTCAACCAAACATTTACCACAATCGATGCTAACATTTGCATCTATTTTCTTCCTGTTCTTATATCTCAATTTGTTCAGAACTCACAATGTGGTTGTAGGTGATTAATGCATATCAATTGTGGTTAAGAGACTATTATGGTTAAGAGGCTATTATCAATACCATTTATGTATGTGACCAACCTGTGCACCTAGGGATACAGACCAGTGTAGAGAATTTTCACATTTGGCTAAAGAAGGAAAATCTTGTGCCATTGTATCCATAGAAAGTGATATTACTGAAGACCTGACTTTCAAAATTTGAACTCTATACCCTTGATCTTAATGGAGTGGGCAAAGAAATCCTTGTATGCAAAAAAAATTGTGATGATTTAAAACTTAACCAAAACTCAACATCAGACTGTTACAGAAGACACCCAACAAGATGGATTGTCACAATGATTGCAACAATGGGCTCAAGTATAGCAATAGTTGTGAGGAGGTTTGGGGCCTAAGCACTGTTTGTTTTGTGGTATATAGAACTGCTAAGAGCTCATTTCAACTCAATGGCACAAAATAACAATTTATTTATGTATGTATACATATATATGTACATGCATAAACGTATATGTGTAAAATCTCCTATAAAGTTTATGGAATCATAGTCTAGAACATGGCATAACAAAGAGTCACTCAACCCACCCTACTCCTATCCATTAATATAGAAGGGAACACCCTACGAAATAAGATTATAGCCACAGGCATAGGGTCCAGAATGATAATACATCACATTAGGAGTTAAGGGTATAAAGGCCATATCAATTTACCACCCATGACATGGATGGACAGAAGAATAGACAAATCTGTCTTGGAAGAAATACAGCCAGAATATTCCTTAGAAGTGATGATGGCAATACTTCATCTCACATACTTTGGACAAGGTTTAAGGAGAGACCTATCCCCGGAGAGAGCATCATGTTGTAAAGTACAAGGTCAATGAAAATGAAGACGACCCTCAAGAAAACAGATTGACAAAATAGCTTTAAAAATATATTCAAACATAACCATAGTGAGGATGGCATAGAGCGGGCAGTGCTTCCTTCTCTTGCCCACAGAGGCACTAGAATGTGGAAGCAATTTGACTGCACTTAGTAATGTGTATGTGTGTGTACACAGGAAATATATGTGTGTACATGAATATATGTATGTTTTGTGTGAATTTACCCAGATACGTAAGATGAATTTACCTGTCCAAAAGCTTCTGTCTGCCTGAAATCTGGTTACTGAGCATTTTACTTTAGATAGGTCGTTTGAATTTGGAGAATACTTCTTGTAAGCTTCTTATAAGCTTCTATCATTCTGTGAATCCATGGTGGACTGTACAGGAACTTAGGGGAATCACAGTTAGAGGCTATGGCGCGGGGGATCTTGTAACTAGCATGAAAAGAAACACTTGGAATTAAGTTTAGAGATAAAACTCTCTCAAAGAAGTTGAATATTTCACATTACAAAGCCAGTTTTTCTTCTTTTCTCTTGCTTCTTTTTCCATTTCAACTTGCTCTGTGTTTCTATTGCTTGATAATCTTAAAAAAATTTTTTTTAAAGAAAAGAATCTTCAAAAATTTGGCTAGAGTTTGTACACAATCAAGCAGCTCTTATTCAAACTGCTATAAAACTTATCGAAGGTGACAAATTTTCGGTAATCGAAGTGGCAAATGAAGTTAATAATTTAAAATTTCAGTGTTAGAAAATAATTTTCTTCCATTAACTATCCGTAATAGCGTAAGCCAGCTAGAAGAACAAGGTGCAATAAATCGTGCAGATATGATGAATCACGTTAAAAAGTTCAATAGTGACTGTATAGATTATTTAGAAGAGTGGACAGTACATTACAATGATATTGAATATTTTCATTGGGTTACATTAAAGCAAGAACTTAATTAGAATGATGTGCAAACATCATTCCATCATATTACTCATATTACTCAAAATTCCCCATAGAGTAATATTTCTGAAAATGATCTTTTTAATGAAGTAGCATTATTGAAAAATATATATTGATCAGGAAAAGGTTAAATCTTGGGCATCAGCAAAAATCACAATAGAGAACAAATGGTTAGAAATATTTCATCATTTTGAAACAAACCATGTTCCATACAATAATGCACTAAAAATTGTGGACTACACACCGTCCTTACCAGGAACTAATGCTGCGACTGAACGCGCTTTTTCTACGGTAAATAAAGTGTGGACATCAGAAAACTCACAATTAAGTGCTGAGACTTTGAAAGCCATTTAATGTGTGAAACATATTTAATAAATTTTTGTGAAAATTTTCGTGACCTTTTAAACAACGACAGCAATCTCCTAAAAAAAATCACTCAAATGAGTTATATGCCAAAGAATAAAATAATACTATGCATGATTTTTAATGTATTATATTTGTAAATTGTACTTATGTTTAAATTAAAAAATATATTACAATACAAAAATTTTTTTAAACCCAATGTCATCATAATACATTATCTAACTGTAATAATTTATTATTGAGACTATATTAGTGAGGTTAAATGTAAATTAATGACATTTAGCATTTATCTTTGTATAAATAAATCTCGCTCCATTTCAGAAATAGCAGGCACTGGACAGTCCATGAGGTTATCTTGGTGCCTCTCTGGGGAAGCAGGTACATGTGTTTGAACAAATAGATCCTTTCACATCCATTAAAACTGGTTTTACATCCTTGTTCTATCACTTACAAGCTAATTGCTCTATGTACAATTATGAGAATAAAAACAATTTGCAGAGTAGTTTACATGTTTAATTATATGTGAATTTTCAATACAATCCAGATTTCCCTTCTTACTATTTGTTAAAAATTAAAGGAAAAACAAATGCATCTTAGCAGATGGTTAATATTAACCATAACTTTGCTTTTTCCCCTATTGTTAATAGATAAATGACCAGTATTACTTTTGTATTTTTTAAATTCACATTATAAGTATTAGTCTTTAATGTTAAAGTTATTAGGTCACCATTGTAAAGCAGAAATTCATAAAACCATTTTGACCAAACCTGAATGATTTAATTCAGTTTTGCTGAATTAGATAGTTCTCTTTTTATACAACTACCCCTGTTGGATCCCTTCTGTTCTACTAACAAGGTGTGGGTTTCTGCTTATGTTAACTGCCAGAGACCATACGTGACTAAGGGAAGAGTATCTCTGTAGGAAACCAGGATGTGGACTACATACCCCCAAAGGTAGGAGATTCAAAATCAGATACATTGTTGTAAAATGGCCTTGGAAATATTAGAAATGTACTTTTCCGATAACACTATAGAAAGAAAGACTCAAGAAAAAACCCCTTAGCTAAAGTTTACTAGACTAAGACTAAGGATCTTTCACTTAAACAAGCAAAATCTAATGAGTGAATCTTGGTGTTAATTTTTATTGCCATCTCTATTCTTAAAATAGGATGGAAACTTGAGAAAACATATTTTATTCCGCTGGTGTTATTATTCCTCTAATGCTTTGAGAGTAATAGAATTCTTTTGGTTAAGTCTCTAAAGGCTTGTTTGACCTGCTTGTTCCTCAGAGTATAAATAAATGGGTTTAACATGGGGGAAATGGACGTTGTTAATATTGTCACCCCCTTATTGACAGCCATTTCATCCTTTGCTGAAGGTTTGATATAGACAAAGATGCAGCTGCCATAGGTGATGGAAACCACAATGAAGTGGGAAGAACAAGTAGAAAAAGCCTTTTTCCTTTGTTGAGCAGAGGGGAATCTTAAAATTGTTCTCAGGATATATGTGTAGGACAAGACCACACACACTAGAGTCATGATAAAGACCACTACAGAGCAGGCCAGGACCATTTGCTCGACGTTCCATGGATCTGTGCATGCGATCTTCAGGATAGGATTGGCATCACAAAGAAAATGGTCAATGACATTAGAATCACAGAATTCCAGATCCAGTAACATGAGAACAGCTGGGAATATCATCAAAATAGCAATCATCCAGCACCCTAGGATAAACCTTTTACAGGCGTTGTGGTTCAGGATGGTCACGTAGTGCAAAGGTTTACAGATGGCCACGTATCGATCATAGGACATGGTGACAAGAAGGAAAAATTCCGTTACTCCGAACACATCTGTAAAAAACAATTGACTTAAGCAAGCATCATATGCAATGGTCCTGTCACCCGTAGATATACTGTGTAGGAATCTTGGGATGGAGGATGAAGTGAACAAGATTTCTAAGAAGGAGAAGTTTTGGAGGAAAAGATACATGGCCGTTTTGAGGTGAGAATCCACTAATGTGAGAATGATGATGGTTAGATTTCCGGTGACAGTCAACATGTAGGTCATAAGTAGAACTATAAATACCAGAATCTGTAGCTGTGGGTCTTTCGTCAGTCCCTGGAGGATGAACACGGTCAGTGTTGTATGGTTCCTCATTCCTGGCTCATGATTTCTGCTCAAACCTGAAAGATAGAAGATTTGAGAAGAGGGTGAAAATAGCTTTTTATGACTTTTTAAATGTTTGTGCTTCTAATAGGTTTCCAATGACTTTTCACTTTCACACAGACAACAGAGAGAAATAATAGATTTAATTCACTAATAAATGAGGGAATATTTTGTGATTTACACAACTGAGAAATACCGTGCTCATGATTTTATCTCATTTTTTTTAGCTAGTACATCAATTTTCCAAAATAATTTCCTAAAAGATTCGAAGTTCAAATGTACCCATAAGCATCTAGAAAGTAGAAAACCCTATCAATCTACTTCCAAACATCAAGCATTGGTATTCCAGAAGAACTCTGACACATATGTGGCTTCAGAGAGAATAATTTTAATAACAGTCTTTATTACTATTAGCCATAGTTGTATTGTTTTGTTTTAAACCTATCATGAATTTCTTGAAGGTATTCTCATTCCCTTTTGCTGTTTCATTCATTTTGTTAAGGATTTGTTTGGTAATGGCTATATTGTGGAATGTGACTCTAGAGCACACTATATTGTGTGACAGGTGTTGAAGTAACTATTTTACATAGACTCTCTGCTGTAATACCTCTTCTTTGAACCTTTTCCTCATTGATTGCTCCATCTTGCTTCCTGATTCAGCTTCTACGTGACTCTCACTGATTCCTTTCTCAGTCTTCTGGTTAGACGCTTCAAAAGAGTCACTTTGAGTCCACTTAGGTACCACCCAATGTGTGTTGTCACACTTTATGCAAAATGGAAGATGAACAGTCGGTTGACTTCAGGAGTCTTGACCTTGTCTGGGTCATAGACATAAATTGGAGAACAATCAAATTCCTCATATCTATTTTCTCTTATATTTTGATCGATTTATACATTTCTTTAAATGTTTTTATTTTAAAGCTGCTCTGACAGTTCTTCCTTTTGCCATATCCCTGACTCTGGGTGATTTGTATGTGTGTTGTGTTGTTGCATATTATCCTGGGTATCTACTCAACATATACATATTACTAGCATGATAAATAAAAATCTGAGTTTATTACATTCTACAACAAATAAGTTGCCATTTGTGTTTGCCAGATCACTCCAACATATATATTAAAATAAGAAACACGTTGTTGCTGTTGTTGTTAGGTAGCATAAAGTCCTGTTTACCCAAAGCAAATACATGTGACAGAGTAGACCTACCCCATGGTGCTTGCTTGGCTGCTGTCTTTAGGGAATAAAGGTGTAGTGGGCTGCTAATGGCAAGTTCAGCAATTCAAAACCACCAGCCACTTGGCAGGAGAAAGAAAGGGCTTTATACGCTCAGAGAGTTACAGTTTGGGGAACTCACAGAGCCAGTTTGGATTTGGATTTTTAGCTTTGTGGAAAGGAGTCCTTGAAGCACAGTGGTTAAATGCTTGACTACTAACCCAAACGGAGCTGTCTGAACCCACCAGCTGCTTGTCAGGATAAAGATGTAGCAGTCCGCCTTTGAAAACTGAAAATACAGGGAATCCAGGGCGGATGAGCTCTACAGGACCAGTGGTGTGAGTGGCGAAACAGGGAGGGTAAAGGGAGAATGGGTAGGACAGAGGGAACCGATTACATGGAACTGTGTGTGACCTCCTCCCTGGGGGACAGACAAC